AATAATTAATTAATTAAATCAAGAAATAAAAATAATCATAAAAAAATAGTTAAAAATAATAATAATAATAAATAAACAACCTTTGTACACTAACCTCTCTCTTCCTACAATTATCTCTCCTCAATCCACATAGGAGAAAGTAATCATTACTGGAGAAACAAAAAAAAAAAAATAATGGTCAGATTTACAAAAATGAGAATGACATTTACCCAGTTGAGATTCACCAGAAATTTAGTGAAATAGATTTGATCAATAAGTTATATATTAAATCTTCATTTTCTTTTATCCTATTTCTTTTTTAGAAATCATAGTCAATTATAACTAGATTTTCATTAAATTATCACGATAGTTTAGCTTTGAGTTAGAAACTAAATGTCAATCATTTACATGAATTCTAGTAAATCAAGTCAGATTAGTAATATTAAATTAAATTTATATGAGTAGTCAAATGAATAGATTAAAAATAGAATCCACGTAGAAATTTGGAATGCATCAAAACAAGATTAAAAGGCAACAAAATAAACCCAGATAAAAAAAATTCAAGAATTAAAATCCACAAACTATATATTAGAGAGAAAAGTAAATACTAAAAGCCCATAATACAGTAACATGGAAAATAAGATTTTTAATAAAATATAATTGTAGATATATATCAAGACTTTTAACAAGACGAATCTAAATTAGAGAAATAATTTTATAGGGTTCAAATTTGAAACCAATGTCATGGGCTCACATAGATTGACTTGAATTTCAAATGACAGAATCAAACTTTCTTTTAAGGATATATTCGTGACAACAACTTAAGCTAACTAAGTAAGTGGCTCACCCGTCGTAGGTTACACGTTGTATGTTGTATGTTGGCACGTGCCATTAAATTGTATGCTAGACTGTTATGCTTGAATACGTAAGCTTGTGAAATATGAATGTATGCTATTTAGTATGATGTGATGTGTTGTGCTTATGATGTTATGATGTTCCTAGATGATTCTGGCATTGATTGTACGGTATATTTGAACATAAACAGCATGAAATGTATGACATGAAATTACGGTAAATTGCATGAAATATAACCCTGTTAGGATTATGTATAAAATGTAGACTAAAAATGAGAAATGATATGTTATGCACGAATAATGATAGCAGGGTTATATTTAATAATGTTGAAAACAGAAAAATGTTGGGACCTCATGCATTATGTATGCTCACGCATTAGTGGGATACTCCTATTTCTTCACGAGAGGACGGACGCGTACATCCATTAGGTAGGCGAAGTATCGTTATGTTTTACATAATGTTACCGTGACAGTTAAGGAATTCTAATGGGTGTCCGGCAAAAGTTGAGCTACTAGAGAAGGCTCGCCCGACAAGAAAAGGGGCCCAGCGGTGTGCCCCTACTCGCACGTATGGGCTGTGTGTAGCGTATATGGTACACATCCAAACTGCCCAATTAGAATAAGTGTCGTTGGAAAAGAATAGTCTGATTGGTCCCATCATAGCATTTTGCATGTTCTTGTTGCATAACCCCGATAAGGGGTCACTTACTGAGTATTCTATAAATACTCAAACCTCGTGCTACCATATTTTTCAGATAAAGGCAGGCACCCATGTGAGATTGACGGCGGCATCGCACATCCCGAGATTGTGGCACATGCATAGGGTAGTTGCTTTCCATTTCGTAGTATAAGTTAGTATATGTTGAATTTCATTTGCATTCATAGTATATGTTAGTTTAGGTTGAATTCTCACTTGCATCATTAATATAGGTTAGTATAGGTTGAACTGTAATTGCATAATAAATTATAGGGTAGTATAAGACATTTATTTCAGCGTTGTTTTTTTTTTTTTTTTCTTTCCCTTGTATTCGTTATTCATGAGGTAATAAAAGGCAAACTTATGTCGCATTTATGATAAGAGCCAATTTAAGGTAAATACCGCATTTTAAAGTATAGTAATGACCTTAGATTAAATAGGCAAAAAATTTAGGGTCGTTACAGACTATGATGTAAATGTAACATAAAATAAATAAAAAGTCTTAAAATATATTAATGAAATACAATAACCCTAAATTAGTCTAAATTGCAATCCACCCAAAATTTATAACAATGAAACTTCATTTGTTTCAATGTGCCAGAATTGAAATATCTTAGATAATTTCAACACCATTTTCTTCACATCTTCAGTGAAGCATATTGTATGATTGTCTCTTGGTTCATATCAGATTGAATCTCCTTGGTAAGTCTTTCTTGCTATGACTCGAACACAAGGCTAAAGGCCAATGTAAGCCTCTATAAGAAAATCGCCAAGAAATTGGAGAATTATTTAGACTAGAGATAGAAAAGTACCGAAAATATTTTAGCTGAACACACGAGTCCTATTTATAGAAACTTTGGAAAAACAGTGAAAACAACCCACCCAACTACTCATCTACTTAAACATTAAATTCCATCTCTTGAAATTATATTGCTACCTCTCTATTTGATTAATCCCCAAAATGGTGAGCATATGATCATTCTATAAAGATTAAATTTTCGTGATTCAGGCTTATACAAACTCATTATTTAAGATATTTCCACTCATATGTCTTTACATAAACGATTTGAATCAAATTATTTGTAACAAATGGATCGTATCAGCAATGATATCAGGTAAATGCACCCAACCTTATACATATACTATAGACCATTTAGATTATTATTTAAACATGATACTCCTATATGTCAACTATATAATGTTCCGAATTGCACTAATAAATTTTTCATACCAAGAATAAAATTAAATTGCGAGTAAAATAATCAAAATTATTGTTAGCATTAAATAACTAATTAGGAGCCCTAATATAAATCCTAATAATGACATGTCTATGTAATTTTTTTGTTGGTATATATTGGAGAAATTTTATTTAAATGAGAGTGTTCCTAATGATAGGAGGATTAATAAAAGCTCAAAAGAATTGAAAGTCAGTACTTATACTAATTAGGTACACCTTTATTTTTCGGTGGCTCAATCATAGAAACTCTATGGTTAAGTGTTCTTTAACTGGAGCAATTTTATGTTGGATGACCTCCTATAAATTTTTTTGAGATGCATGTGAGTGAAAACAATCGTGTGGGTCTGTGGGGGATAGTCTTCACTCTTTAAAAGTGAGGAGTAGATAATGTAACAATGTCGTAAGGGATGCAAGAGAATGCTGAGACCATCAAGTGTCGAATCTGGATTCCAAATCTTAAGCATAAGGGCATGTAACACCGGAGTAAAGGAGAGGTATATGAAACAACCGAGATCACATGTGAATTAGAGTGATCATGACTCATGAGGATAGAATGAATAATAAAGGCTCAAAAGAATTGAAATCACTATCTACACCAATTAAGTGTACCTTTTTTTTTCGTTGGCTCTATCATAGGAACTCTATGGTTAAACGTGCTTTAGAAGCATTCAAGTTGGTTTGTGGAGATGGTCTTTATTCTTAAGAAGTAAGTAATAGGTCACGTGACTATGTCGCAGGAGAATATCGAGCCATCCGATATTGAATTCCGAACATGAGTCATTACATTTTTAGGTAATGTGAGAGGAGAATAGCTCATATTTGTTTTTTTTTTTTTTTACACTAATTATTTCTATACTTATTTAGAAATAATTATATATAATTTATTTTAATAATATTTAAGAAGAAAAATAATTTGATTTAAGAGATTTTAAATGAATATTTAATGACTAAATAATTATCTTAATATTGATACAATTTATAATTTAAAATGTAACTTTTTAAAAAAAATCCCAAAAAAACCATGGCGCCAAAACAAATCCTTTTTGTAGTTTTGGTTCCCCCCTCCCAAATTTTCATCCGCCAAAAGTCTGGATCGCGATCCGCGTGATTAATTCTAAAAGAGATCTCAACCGTCAATACAAACTCCAATCGACCGTCCAAAATCACCCTCCAAACTCCCCATAGTCTTATAAATACTCGTCTCTCCCAGTCTTCAGCATCAAAATATTGCAGTTTCTTCATTCACATTTGCGTTTTCTCTAAGAAGCTTAATTTCCTACGACGCGTCAATGGCTCGCACCAAGCAAACAGCCCGAAAGTCCACCGGCGGTAAGGCTCCTCGCAAGCAATTGGCGACGAAGGCTGCTCGGAAATCGGCTCCGGCGACCGGGGGAGTTAAGAAGCCGCACAGATTTCGTCCAGGGACTGTTGCACTGAGGGAGATCAGGAAGTACCAGAAGAGCACCGAGCTTCTTATCCGAAAGCTTCCGTTCCAGCGGCTGGTCAGAGAAATCGCTCAGGATTTCAAGACCGATCTCCGATTCCAGAGTAGCGCCGTTGCGGCACTGCAGGAGGCGGCGGAGGCCTACCTCGTCGGATTGTTCGAAGATACTAACCTGTGTGCGATTCATGCTAAGAGAGTCACGATTATGCCTAAGGATATTCAATTAGCGAGGCGGATTAGAGGTGAGAGAGCTTAGAGAGCTGTGAAGTTTTCGATTAATGGTGTATGTGAGAGAATTTGAAATGTAGAATCCACGTTTAGTTAGTCTGTATTTGTTTTGTTTTTGCTTCTGTGGATTTTCTCTCTAAGATCAAATTGAGAATATATTTGATATGAAAATCCTAATTATGTGATCAAATTAAGCATGTGATTTAGGTAACTCTTTTGGTTTCTGTGGATTTTTGTTGCTCCTACCATGATGGGATCAATAATTGTCAAAACTTGTGATGCTCAAAATCTAGAAAACTTGAAAAGATTATCTTCTACCAGACCACATTTAGCCTTGCTCACATCCTAATTATGTAATCTAGTTATTACATGCTCGGTGGTCTAAATGTCTATTGCAATGGCTTGAACGTACTAGTTGATCTGAGTTGAGCCATAGTGGTCTCTGCATTTGATTTCCAATGAGATGCTTGTGAATTCTTTAGATGAATGTGATTTGGTTGAGATTATTGGGGAAGATTTCAAAACTTTCGTACTTTATTATTGGCAATAAGCAATGAGATGTTGAAGAATGAGAGCCCATCAAAAGGCCAACAAAGAATAAGTAAACTCTAAATACTTATTTCTAATCCATCCTAGGAACCACACTACTTATTTCTCCTAAGATTTTCATTTTTCCTACCCTCTCAGATCTTCTAACTGCTGCCTGCTATTCCTAGTACCCGTTTTTCCGGTGGACATTCCTTGTATGGACGTTTATCATGCTCGGCTTCTTCATCAATGTTAGTTCGACGTCGATCTTCTCCTTCTTCTCTCTCACCCCTGTGCATTTAGAGATTCAAGTTCAGGTAGTAACGAGAGCAACATAACCATGGATTACAGTACCTTTTACAAGCGTAAAACTACAAATACGATTCTCAATCCTCAGGGCAAATGCAATAATGGTTTATGTAGCATCAGTTCAAAAACGCTCAAGCAATGATCACTTTACAAGAAAGAAAGGGCAATAAAATACATTATTTGTGAGATCTCACATCAGTTGAGGAGTAGAACGAAACATTCTTTATAAGGGTGTGGAAACCTCCTCCTAAGAGACACGTTTTAAAAACTTTGAGGGAAAGCCCAAATAAGATAATATTGACTAGCGGTAGGCTTGGTCCGTTACATTATTGTAGTGGCTAAGATGGTGATTCTCATACTATATTACAATATACATCTAACATGACCCGAAATATAAGAAATTCATCAGTAACCATCATGCAGGTAATCATCCATCTGAGAACACTACAATAAAACTTCCCTAGGGGTATATATGCTTACATTATGAGCACTTTCCAGGAAATGTAACGTAAAAAGAATGCAGAATGATAGAGAAGACATACACTGAATAAGTAATGAGTCCAATGATAACAGCAGCAAAGGCCAAATAGTAAAGCCAATCAACCTGCAGAAACTGACTTGATTTAGACATACAAAACACCCAATACGACACATGAACACAAAAAACCAAGTGATCACAGACCTTCTCATGATACGCGACGACACGAATCACAACGGACCACATGTCCGAGGTGAGCAAGGACAGGTTCAACATTGTGGATCCACTGATCTGTGAAAATATATATGTTCAGAACCAAATTGCAACTTCACAGTTCATTCAATATGTGTTCATCAATAGCACGTACCTGAAGTAATACAGGGACGAGCGAGTAGAAAAAAAACATAGCCGCAGAGAATCCAGCAAAAGGAATGGCCTGAAACAACAAACAATTTGCTACACATTGGAGTATCAAATTCTAGAACAGATTAAGAGACAGAGAGATTACTGCTTCTGCAGTCCATCGAATGGATCGTAACTCCTTGCGCTCGATTATGCTTCTATAGAAACCATCAAGGGAAACATAATACATAAAAGACTGAACAATTCAGAATAGGCCCATTGAGACAGATATAAATCTAAGGATACATTTGGATAGCACTGATGATGGCACCGAAGCTACCTAACATAGCCATTAGCTCAACTCTGTCAGCATTCTTCACCAGAAATTCCTTCACCAGACAGTCAAATTTTGACATTTACAAAGTGTTCAGAGTAATTGTAAGGTAAAAAGGTAAATGCTAGTGCATAGTTGCAGCCTTACCTCGCTGACATTGGTAACAGCATAAAGGGTAGCACCAGCTATAACAAGAGCATCCCCTTTAAGTGGGCTGCTTCCTCCTGCAACTCATTATTGGTGCATGTGAATACAAGCAAATATCAATTTGGGGGGTAGAGGGCATAAAGGGACTTGTGTCGTTACCAGCTCGGTCGCCAGCATGAACATCAGAAAAGATAACCATGACGAGGCCAGCAACACACACGACAACACCGCCTATCTTCCTGAATCTGTATTTTGTTTTTAGGAAAATCCAGGTGAGCAGCATCACACAAGGGATTGTCCAACAATCCAGCAGCATCACGCTTGTTAAAGATGTGTATTGATATGCCTTCACAACTGCATCTCAGTTTTGAATTATCAAACATTTAGGCATAGTTTTATGAAGCTACAAACCAGAAGGTTCTTAGTTTCATCATGTTTTATAAAGCTTGGTCTGTATATTTCTCCAAGAATATAGGCAGCAAGACAAGGAAATTATCCGTACCAAGGTAGTTGGCTTCTACATCTACCAATCCTAAAGGTATGTAGAAGTACCATTTTGCCTGAAAGATTTAGAAAGGAGACAAGTAAGAAATTCACGCATCATAGATTTGAATAGCATGCAATAGAAATTTCTGTTATCAAGCCAAGTTCAACCATTATGAGTAAGATCACACAACACTTGTAACGGCCCAAGCCCATTACTAGCAGATACTGTCATCTTTGGACTTTTCCTTTCGAGCCTCCCCTCAATGTTTTTAAAACGCGTCTTCTAGAGAGAGGTTTCCACACCTTTATAAAGAATGTTTCGTTATCCTCTCCAACTGATATGGGATCTCACAATCCACCCTCCCGAGACCCAGCTGCTAGGGAGAGGCTTCCACACCCTTATAAAGAATGTTTCGTTCTCCTCTCTAATTGATGTGGGATTTCACAATCCACCCCCCTCAGGACTCAACTGCTAGGAAGAGGTTTCCACACCTTTACAAAGAATGTTTCGTGCTCCTCTCCAACCGATGTTGGATCTCACAATCTACCCCCTTCGAGTCCCAACTGCTAGGGAGAAGTTTCAATGCCCTTATAAAAAATGTTTTGTTCCCCTCTCTAACCGATGTGAGATCTCGCAATCCACCCCTGTCGGGACCCAGCTACTAAGGAGAGGTTTCCACACCCTTAAAAAAATGTTTCGTTCCCCTCTACAACAGAGGTAAGATCTCACAATACTTCACATCTCTAATTCAGCAACTAAATCATTATGGCATGGTAACAGCCGCCTTTAGCCATCTAACTAAACAAGGTAGTTGTGTAGGAAGTGAGGCTAGATCGCCTGAAAAACCTCATCAACAACATGACAAACATTCAATTGCTTAACTTCTTACTCCATCAACCATCAAATTTCAAGGGGTACTCATTCAATCAGTTTAAAAGATATCAAATAAACAAGTATCACAATCACCTTGAGTGCCTTTCTACGATAGAGCACTATACTTCCATAGACAATAGCCAAAAGGACGTAGTTTATAAAGGACTGTGATGTTGGTGCATTAATTCCTGCACAATAGGATTAAGTATTACCACTAAATCAAAACGATTAAGCTGAAGTACATGAAGTTTAAACCAAAAGTAATTATAAATACATTGAATCCTCATATTCCCAACTCAGAATAGCACATGAAAATTCAATTAAAAAAAACCATAAACAAGAAGAAGATGCAGAAAAACACGAAGAATGCACCTCTTTTAGCGAGTTCAGAGGATGCAAATCCAGTGGAAGTGATAAGAAGAGACAAAAATTGTCCCAACCCAAGACCGATTAGAGTCTTCTTCGTGCAAAAATCCTTGAAACTCCTCATTATCGTCGTTTCGACGCTCAAACAAGATTAGAACAGATAAATCGCACAACCCAGAGAACAGGAATCCAAATTGAAGGACCGGTTACAGACCCAACTGAAGAACAATCGATGCAGTTTTCATTCGGAATCTAACAATTTGAAGTACTGGGAAAGAAGGAACAGAATAGAATTCGGTAAGCAACAACAGATGCGGCGTGGAAATCGAGGGTTGAGAAGAGTTGGCAATACGAACACGAGTGATTACCGGCGTTTGAATGTGAATGAGCATCTGAATTCTAGAATTTATGCTGATTTTGGAGCTGTTGTTGGAAAAGGAAAAGGAAAAGGAAAAGGGAATTTTGGTTCTTAACTCCACTCTGTATATATATATATATACACATAGACGTTATACACAATTGGGTATGAGATGGAAGAACTTAATAATTTAGGAATTGGAAGCGACGGGACGAAAAGGGTTGCAATTCATAAGTGGGAATTGAATTTTTTTGGATTTGGCGACAAATATTAATGGATCGGATTTCCATTTTTGACTTTTGATTCTAATGGTCCGTGAAAGCGTATCAAAATTTCAAATATTTTATTTTAAAACAACACCAACAAACACCACATTCATTTTATTTTGCCCTTATTTTTTTTTTATTATTTTTTTTAAGGGGAAAACTCGACATAAACACATATAACTTACTTTAAGATGATAATTGATATCTTATTCGTTTATATAATTATTTTAGTATGGTTTTGATAATTATTTCATTTTTTTTTAATTTTTTAGTTTTGTTTTTGAAATATAATTTTGTTTTTAATATAGTTTATTTTTAGTTTCAAAATTGAAAAAAAAAAATCAAAATTTTAAGGTTAAATATAGCAGTAATTCATTGACTAGAAAGAGATTACAGATCTTGTTACTATATTTTTCAAATCTCTTTTACAAAGATAACCTACATAGTTTTTTATAGTCTCAAAATGACTGTAATATATATTATTTTGTAAACAAAAAGTCTTGAAAATACATTAATGAAATACATGACTATAAATTATTATTCATCCAAAATTTTCAAATCTTGACGGGCGTACTAAAAAAATTTAAATTAAAAAAAACTTAAATTAAAAAATATATATAGTTACATTTTTTTTTCAATATACAAATGGGGCTTTTTGTTTTATCGGTCTTTTGGGCACTATGAGTGGGGGAGATGAGTTCAAGGCGCAGCGCAACGGCGCACATCATGCCAAAAGTTGGGGTATTAGCCGCACAATGTGTATCAGCCTTTTGAGAAGGAATAATATCAACATTGTTAGGTCCAATTAATGATTTAATTTTAAGATGGCCTTGTGAGGGTCAATCTAACATATGAAAAATTGATAATTTTAATGGGTCGATAGTGAGAGCTTCAGAATACGATTTCAACTCATTTTGAATCACGCAAATCGAACATCAAACGAAAAAGTTACGTTTAAATGAAGGTTTGAAAGAAAAATAGTAGACACAATTTGAAGAGTGAATGAATTGTAAATTGACTTATAAGATTTGAGTCTTGTAGTAGCTGTTTGGTGCCTAACAGATAATGTTTGGGTGACCTCCTACTCAATGTTCGGTAGATTTGGTTTGTAAAAGAGAGATTGACTTCTCATAGACTACTTAAATTGACGTCACTTTCTCAAATTCCGTTTTATTGTGAATAATTATTCATTCGACTAAAAGTTGATTAATTTGAGAATATTCACTCTACTTCTCAAGGTTCTGTAGATTTGGTTGGTAAAAGAGAGATCGATTTCTCGTAGACTACTTAAATTGATTGTCACTTTTTTAAATTCCATTTTATCATAAATAATTATTCTTTGGACTAAAATTTCATCAATTTGAGAATACTCACCAAACATCTCAATGTTCTGTAGTTTTGATTGGTAAAACAGAGATCGATATAGAAAAAACTAATTGGGATAAGTCGAAATTCTAAACTCTTCCTTTCCTGTCAAATTTCGTTGGTTCGGGTTGTAACTTCATGCGTTCAACCCATCATCATGCTAGCCCAAACTCGCGGTTCAAAACCCAAACCGACCTAGTGACCCTATATTCGACCTAGAGCCTCAAACTACTTACCCGATCCAAGCCGAACCATGACCCGACAACCCATGCCTCGACTTGACGCCTGGTTCATGATCCAATGTTGACCCACCACCTGGTTCGTGATTTGTGCGTTGACTCAAGTCAACTCTAGCGCCTCAACTCACTCCCATCTGACCCTCCAAATATGTGGCTTCTTGGCTTCACAGCTCACTTGGCAGCTTTGGCTCAATTTCCTCGGCTTAGATGGCTCAAATTGAATTTTTGGGACCTTTTCTACCATTTTGGAGTTAGTACAACCCGTGTTCGTTCAATTCAAATTATTTAAGCTAAAAAATAGGATTATTCGGTATCTTTAGATGAGTTAAGCTCGTTAATATATTCTAACCCAATGTCGTGGACCCATGTAGGTTGAGTTAGACTTCGAGGAACAAGTTAGTGACTTCGGCTTAAGCCAATTAAGTAAATGGCTTCACCGTTGGCTTGGTTGGACGAATCGTATGACGTATGATGACACGTGCCTCATGGCCCCTACACGTGTCATGACTATGATTGTTTGACATATGTCATACTATGTCATGTTATATTATGTCATCACCTACCATGTTACGTTATGCTATGCTAGGAACCATAAGCATTACATATGCATGTTTCATAGGATCACTATGTTAGGAATGAATGGAGGCATTGCTTGTATCATAAACTTATGTCATGATTTTAAGATATGGGGACCTCATTCATTTATATATATCATGTGCATTGGAATACTTCCTCGTTATGATTAGTATGGATGCATACCTTATAATATTTATGTTTATCATGATATTATATGAACCATTTCTCTTCGTGGTGTCTGGTTGTATGAATGTGTGCTCGAGTTAGGCCCTAGGAATACATATACAAGTCTTCTTGGTGGGTCCACATGTGCATGCATGGGTCGTGGGTTCGAAGTACTACACATCTAACCCTGCCTAGACTAGAAAGCGGAGCCAAAGATCATGGCATAATATTTTGATGAAAGGATAAGTCTCACCCTATTGCATGTGATTGTATTTTTAGACTCCAATAGTAGGGTTACTTATCTCGAGAATTTCTTGTTTTTTAGGTATTATTATTAGGTAAGTAAAAAGATCGAATTCTTTCTTCTCCCCCCTTCTTCCTCTTTCTCAATCCCCAACTTTTCTCTCTTCGATCGACGGCCACGAGACAACTTTGGCCACCAACTTCCACGGCAAGCCATTCACGTGAACCATCGGCGAATCTCACACTGAAGACGTGAACCTTTCCTTTTTGAGGTAACTTCAACGTTGTAGTGGACGTAGTAGACCACCAAAACCTTCTCGGTCGCCGTGGGTAGTGGAATCAGACACAAAACGTGTCGCTGGAGACGAAGGAAAATCGAAGCTCTCATTCTCGGTACCTATCGGGCGAGGAAGACGAACAATAAGGTCGGATTTTAGCTTTTGATTTCTGTTTTGGGTAGGTCATGCCATTGCAATATCCATGACCCAACAACCCAACGCTCGAGACCCAAGCCCAGATTGAAACACAGAAACCTGATCCACACGTCGACTCGAGTCCTGCGTCTTGCCCCGAGAATCAATACTATGAATGTAATTCATGAGGATCTTATGCATGTATGTATGTTATGTTTATCGGGATACTTCCTTATTAAGTTATGTTAGTACAACGCGTACCTTCAATATTTATGTTTGTCATGATATCATGTAGGCCTTTCCTTTTATGGGGCATCCAGTGACATGTAACACATTGTGCCCGATCAAGCTAGGCCCAAGGGGCATGTATACGAGCCCGCCTGTTGGTCCATGTGTGCGTGCGTGGGTCACGTTTGGAGAAATACCACACATCCAACCCTACCCAAAATTGGAAATAATCAAAGACCATGTTACGGTTTTTAAGGATAGGTCCCATCATGTTATGTGTGTGATTGCATTACTAACCCTAATATTAGGGTCAACATACTTCTATTGTCTTTCAACAAATATACCATCACCTTCAGGTATGTTATTTAAAAATAATAACTGGTTTAATTAAATGAGGCATGTGATAGGTTGATTTTAACACCGTAAAGATGTTATGTTTGATATGTTCGCATGATTATGATAATGTAAAATTAGACATGTTTATTTATTTTTCTAAACCTAAACTAAAAAAAATAATTATTTAGTTATTATAAATCAGTAATAATTTTTAAAAAATATATATAGAATATGTTGTCAAAATAAATTATTAAATAAAAGAATTACTTATTTACTAAAATTTATTTTTGATAACAATTAATTATTTTTGAAATGACACTAACAAAACTTTTAAGTATTTTTGAAATTAAAAAAAAAAAAAATAGATAAAAGGGTAACAATAAGAAGTATTTTTAAATTTCTTGAAGTTAACGATATTATATAATTTTTTTTAAAATTTACAATTATCCATTGAGACAAGGTAATTAGTAGGGGTGTACATTCAACCAGACAACTTGGACCAACCTAACTCGAACTATAAAGATTGGATTGAGTTGGATTAACATTTTGGGTAGGGTTGGGTTCAATTTTCTCGAACTGAATCTGTTCAGTTTCAAGTTCGTGGATAAAACTTTGAGTTGACCCAAGCCAAATAAAAATATATAAATTATATTAGGAATCTTTTTGTATTAATAGGTTTGGTAGAGTGGTACCTTGGCTTCGCTGAGGACACTTAAGCTGAGTTTGACAATATACATTTTTTTAATTTCTTTTATATTAATTTATTATTTTTAATTTCTTATTTGGTTTGTTTATTTTTTTTAATATTATTTTATTATTTTTAATTTCTTATTTGTTTAGTTTAGGGCTATCTCACACTATATTGCAATTAAAATATTTTAGAGTATCTCTCTTTTTGTTATATACAACCTCTGATCATCTCTAATGTTATTAAATTTGATGATCTATCGTTATATTTTTCTACTTTAACCAATTCTCAATTCTTAGTAAATGTCCGTATTTAACTATTTTTATGTGAATAATTATAAATTGATTTGAGTTTGTTTGTGAATAATTATAAATTGTGGATAAATAAAATTGAACCCAACCCAAAATAGAGGTTAGGTTGTGAAAATTTTTGAGTTACGTTGGGTTATCAATTCAACCCATCGCGAACTTTTGGGTTGGATAAAAAAAAATATGCTCAACCCAACCCAACTCACCTCTAAAGACGAGGGATATATATTTTTTTAATTTAGAGAAGGAAAGAAAAGGAAAAAAAAAAAAAAAAAAACAAAAAAACAAACAAAAGAACAACAAGAAGAAGAAGAAGAAAAAAAAAGAAAAAAAAAAAGAAAAAAAAACTGCAAGCCTTCCACCATGATTATAGTTTTTCCGTTTTTTCGCGTTCTGATTTCCCCCTTTAAACCCTCCAAAAACCCCAGCAACCTACTATCTCATTTCCAAGTTCCCAGCTGCGCGTAATGAGCAGAAGGGGGTTTAAATCCCTCCACTTTCTCTCACTCTCCTTAATTTCATCCCCAAGTAGATCCAACCCCATCTTCTCCTTTCACCCATTTCCGGTATACTCTGATTCTTTCAGAGCTGCCCTCGCTAACATCACTCTATATCGCCCAACGCTTTCCTCCTCCATTGCCCACTTCTCCACTTCTCCGGACGATCTGCAAGGATTGGTTGATCCGGACGAGTCGTTTCCGTCTGAGAGTTCGCGTGTCGAATGCTTTTCGGCCCCAGAAGTCTCTTTGCTGCGTGATTCTTTATTGGATTCTCATGCCGACTCGCCTTCTTCAGAGCCGACGCTCAAGTCTGGTAAGATTTCAAACGATGCCATTTCGATTTTAGATACAATTTGTAATAGTGATGATGGGTTCGGGGACAAAACCCAAAAATTACTTAGGCAGTTTAGGCAGAATTTGAATCCGGATTTGGTGGTTGAGATTTTGGGTCTTTTGAGAAATCCTGAATTGTGTGTCAAATTCTTTTTATGGGCTGGTCGACAAATTGGTTACAATCATACTGCGTCAGTGTACAATGCGTTGTTAGATGTTTGTGAATGTGGTAGCTATGATCGAGTACCCGAGAAGTTTCTTCGAGAAATTAAGGATGATGACAAAGAGGTGCTTGGGAAGTTGCTTAATGTGTTGATTAGGAAGTGTTGTCGAAATGGGTTTTGGAATGTAGCATTGGAAGAGCTCGGGAGGCTTAAGGACTTTGGATACAAGCCTACCCGGTTAACTTATAATGCTTTAATTCAAGTCTTTCTTAGAGCAGATAAGTTGGACACTGCTTATTTGGTTCATAGAGAAATGTCAGAGTTAGGATTCAATATGGATGAGTTTACTCTTGGTCTTTTTGCTCAAGCTCTCTGCAAAGTGGGCAAATGGAGAGAGGCCCTCTCGTTAATTGAGAAAGAAGATTTTGTCCCTAATACGATTCTTTATACGAAGATGATATCTGGACTGTGCGATGCTTCGTTTTTTGAAGAAGCTATGGATTTTTTGAACAGGATGCGGTCGAGTTCTTGCATCCCTAATGCTCGGACTTATAAGATCTTGCTTTGTGGCTGTTTGAATAAAAAACAGTTGGGTCGATGTAAGAGAATTCTAAGCATGATGATTGCAGAAGGCTGTTTCCCGAGTTATACGATATTTAATTCTCTTGTTCATGCTTATTGCAAAACAGGCGATTTTTCGTATGCTTATAAGTTGCTTAAGAAAATGGAAAAATGTGAATGCAAACCTGGCTATGTGGTTTACAATATCTTAATTGGCGGTATCTGTAATGGTAAAGAATTACCTGGGCCAATTACATTTGAGTTGGCTGAGAAAGCGTACAACGAGATGTGTTCTTCCGGAACTGTTCTAAATAAAGTCAATGTTGTAAGCTTTGCTCGATGCCTTTGCGGCTTTGGGAAATTTGAGAAAGCATATAAAGTAATCCATGAAATGATGGGTAATGGTTTCATTCCTGATACATCTACATATTCTGAAGTGATAGGTTTTATGTGCAATGCCTCAAGGGTAGAAAATGCCTTTTTGCTATTTAAAGAAATGAAAGGGGCTGGTATGGTTCCTGATGTTTATACATACACAATTTTAATTGATTGTTTTTCGAAAGCTGGCCTCATTCAACAAGCTCACAATTGGCTAGACGAAATGGTAAGAGATGGCTGTGAACCTACTGTGGTGACTTATACAACCCTCATCCATGCATATCTTAAGGCTAAGAAGGTTTCGGTCGCTAATGAACTTTTTGAGGTAATGATAGCCAAGGGTTGTATTCCTAATGTTATTACATATACAGCTTTAATTGATGGGTATAGTAAATCAGGGAATATAGAAAACGCTTGCCAGATTTATGCAAGAATGAGAGGTGATGCAGACATTCCCGATGTCGATATGTATTTTAAAACAGAAAATAACGTGTCTGAAAAGCCTAATGTTGTTACGTATGGAGCTTTGGTGGATGGTTTATGCAAGGCCCATAAAGTCAAAGATGCGTGTGACTTATTGGAAACGATGTTTTCGGAAGGCTGTGAACCAAACAACATTGTATATGATGCACTTATTGACGGCTTTTGTAAGGCTGCAAAGTTGGATGAAGCACAAGAGGTGTTTGTTAAGATGGTAGAGCGTGGGTATAACCCTAATGTCTATACTTATAGCTCTCTTATCGATAGATTGTTCAAGGATAAGCGTCTAGATCTTGTATTGAAAGTGTTGTCCAAAATGTTAGAGAATTCTTGTGCTCCTAATGTTGTTATCTATACAGAGATGATTGATGGACTTTGTAAAGTGGCAAAGACAGATGAAGCTTATAAACTTATGTTGATGATGGAAGAGAAGGGATGTAAACCAAATGTTGTGACCTACACTGCAATGATTGATGGCTTTGGGAAAGCTGGTAAAGTTGACAAATGCCTCGAGCTTTTCAGGGAAATGGGCTCGAAAGGCTGTTCTCCAAATTTTGTCACCTACACCGTGTTGATCAACCATTGCTGTGCTTCTGGCTGTTTAGATGAGGCCTATGCACTTTTGGATGAAATGAAACAAACATACTGGCCGAAACATGTATCGAGCTACTGTAAGGTTGTTGAAGGCTATAACCGGGAGTTCATTCTCTCTCTCGGGATCTTAGAGGAAGTGGAAAAGAATGATGCTACCCCAATTATTCTGCTGTACAGGGTTTTGATTGATAACTTTGTTAAGGCAGGAAGACTGGAAGTGGCACTGGAGCTCCACAAAGAGGTTATATCAGCTTCAATGTCTATGGCTGCTAAGAAAAATATGTACACAACTTTGATTTACAGCTTTTCTAAGGCAATGAAGATTGATCAGGCATTCGAGTTATATAATGATATGATAAGACAGGGTGTTATTCCAGATCTTGGTACATTTGTCCATCTTATTATGGGGCTCGTCAAAGTTAGCAGGTGGGAAGAAGCACTCCAGTTGTCAGATAGCATATGTCAAATGGTATGTGTCTTGACCACTCTGATTTCTTTTAACTTTTATGTGTTTCTTTTGTTGTGTTGTTCAAATATTTTCATCTAGCTAGTTTAGACATATACGGTCAAAAGTTCGAATCTCCAAACCTCAAGTGTTGTTGAACTCAAAAAATATTTTCATATAGCAGGATATCAATTGGTTGCAACGAGAAGACGCACCTTGAAGAGATTTGTGCAGCTGTATCTTTCTTTTTTCTTTTTTTTTTTTTTGGTTCTCTGCCCGTGGATTATATGAATGCCTACGAGAGTGTGCTCAATAATTCAGCAGTGGCAACCATTTTGGAGTGTTCTACCATGCACTCAAGAAAACCTTTGAAGTTGTTCGACCGATGAAGAACTATTGCAGCTATGGACAGACTTGATTCCTCTGATATTGCCTGTGAGTCGGAAGTTAAGTTGGACGGAAATTTGTAGCTTTGCGTTATTCGGGGTCTGGACTTTGGAGAAGGGGTAAGAATACATATTTCTGATTGAAATTTCTTCTATGGGTGGTCCCTAACATTATACCATCCATTTTCTTAGGTTTGAATACCATTTTGGCATCTAAAGTTTTATTCTTATTTTATTTTGATCACTATACTTTTAAATATTTGATTTTAGTCCTTTCTATCGCCCCTCAACCCGATTCAACTCAAGAAACTATGAATGGAAGTGGCTTAAATAGTTTCTGATCATCATGGGCGGAGTTCAGATGCTAAAACTGAAAGATTGGAAATTCCAAAATGAAATAAGCATACTAGTTTAAGTATCAAAATAGGGCTTAATCTCCTCCTTGCGCTTGGAACTAGGTACTAGAATTTATTTCTGTGATTAGGGGTTCGTAGATGTTCTATGATCTGTGGCATTCAGTATGCGTTTTGTTATTTTATTGGTTCAATGTTCCACTTGTGTTGTAATTATGGCTGCTAGGAGTGTTTATGATTTAGTTTTGCACCAAATGAAAAACAGAACATGGCAATATAAGATTGTAGCTGCCCTCAGCATTATACTTCTGTCACGGTCATGGCGTCGAGTTAGCATGCCAATTTTTGTTCTTTATATTGTTGAGCAGCCTTGAATTGTTGGTAAGTAAGTTGTTAACATTCCCCCCATTCTCTCTTCAGATTATTTGAAGGAATTGAACTGCCAACAGGATGATGAGCTTGTGCGCATTGGAGCTGTTGCTGATTTTCTGCAGTTGGTTTCCCCCCTGAGCCCTACGTTGAAAGGTCAATTTTATGTTGTTTCTTTCCCCTCCTGGAGCAGTTTTTGTTGATAAATGAATGATATCTATATATCTATGTTTGTGTGTGCTTTCAGGTTGTGATTCAAAGGGCCATTCTAAAAGAAAATCTGGAGGAGGCAAAATAGAAGAACAGAGGATTTGCTCTGCTCCTTTATTTGTTGAATCATGTTGGAAGATATGATCTATGCCCTGTGTTTCTCACTTTTCTTCTTATTCATTGATTGATTCATAGGAGTTTCATATATTTGAAAAGCCAAAATTTATATAAGGCTAATAATACAAATAGGCAGAGTCGGTGTGTACAAGAAAATTGAGATTCTGATTAATAATCGAATCCCTTAGTTTTAGCGTATGTTGTCGTTGGAATTGTTTGTAACGTGTTAGTTTCAGCCTTGGAGTTATCATATCAAGATTTAACGATTATCTTCACGTCGACTGTAAGTGATAGTAGAGATGGTGATGGTCACTCTTTGTGAGATCCCAAATCGATTGGAAAGGGAAACGAGTGTCAGTGACGACACTAAGTCCTGAAGAGGGTGAATTGTGAGATCCCGCAGAGTGAACCATTCTTTACAAGTGTGTGGAAACCTTTCCCTAACGTATGTGTTTTAAAAACCTTGAGAGGAAACCTGAAAGAGAGCTTAAAGAGGACAATATCTACTAGTAGTGGGCTTTGGCTGTACACTCTTGCTATGATGTATGCATTGAGGGAGTTTGGTCGGGTGAGATGATCATACAAAGTACACGTTTGTTATGTCACAATTGCACTCTTGTTGTAGGGAGATAGTGATTGTGCAACATCTGTTCTAACCTGACGAACAAGTCAGCCGTACGAAAGTCGGACTTTGCAGACAAGCTTGAGGTATGATCGAGTCTTGAGTCACGTTTGAAAGAAATGTTTTTAGAGAACATGAACGAGGAAATTCATTGAAAACAATTTGAAAGAAATCAATGTTATAAGCTAAAATTGAATAAGCAACAACCAAGACTTTGATAGCATATAACTTAGACATGAAAAATTGACAACTAATCTCATCTTCTTCTATTACACTTAAGGGCATTGTAGTCTTGGAAGGTGTAGATGTGATTATGGTGATTGATTAGATACCATCGCATTGATACAACAAGAATAGTAAAGAGTAAGTAAAAAGGGTTTGGAAGTAAAGATCTATCTAACATGAAAGTAAAAAGGGTTTGGAATGGACATTCGGCTATGAACATGTCTAGGACTATCTTGTCCAGGACATCCGACACGCAACCATAAACAACACGCATGAATAAACATGACCGCGACACTTAACACACATCCTTTTGGAGGTCTTTTGTTTGGCCTCTCTTTGTAGGCTTTACATCCATCAATCACTTGTCTAGGGTGTTCTTCATATTGCTTCTTAATGTTAGAATACAACAACATAACGACGAGGTTAGAAAACTCTCGAGACCAAGTTCATGATATCCATTGAAACTCTAGGAGCATAGGAGAGTCCACGAGACATCGCAAATACTTAGTTATATAGTCATTTTTTTTTTGGAATATTACCTCATAAATCCTTAATCCGTATCTTGATTGTAAGCCTATTTTTGAGAAAACAAAGTATTTAACTATACTAGCCATCAAGCTCCATTCTCTTCGGGAGGTCTATACTACGTGTACCGAGGTTACAATCTAGCGAACTACTAGAGGATTGTTTGAATATTTGTAGCTTGTGACACATTTGATTCACTACTTTCACGACATAGCCATTGGTTGCGTGTTTGAAATGTCATATAACTTTGTTTGTTTTGAAGACAAGGATCCCATTTTTTTGGCTTTTAATGCTTTAATAGTTTTATTGCAAATTGTCAAACCATTTTCTATTGCTACACTTCTAAAATAAATAAATAAGACAATTGTATAAAATTATGAAATAATAAAAATATTATGAAATTAAATAAAAATAAAATAATTACATTTATATACAATGAATAAGATAAATGTATTTTTTTAAAAAATTAACAATATATTCGGTTCAACTCAATCTAGTTTTTGGAAGCTCATTAACTAACCCAAATCATAAATTTTCATTTATTTGAATCAAACTCGATCCAAATAAGTTCATAATTCAACTCAATCCATATGGGTTGGGTTGGGTAAAATATACTCGGAGTACCTTTAAAAATAACTTTAGAACGGAAATGCATGCAAACAAAGAAAACCTAACACTACTCGTACTCATGCTTAGGGTTTAAGGTCTGGTTTAGAGTTTAGGGTTTAGGGTTTTGGGTTTAGAGTCCAAAAATGTTTTTCATTTTATACACAACTGATCGGATCTAAGTAGAGAATACCCGAGAATAGTCATATTAAACCTACAATGGAATCTTGGATCATCTTTGATTTATTTAGAATTAAACAAAAATTCAAAGTTTTAAGCAAAAAGTTAGAGAAAGTTGGGGTAGATATTTAATCTTCTCACTCTAACTTCTCTAACGAGGTTGAATTTTCTATTCTTCCACAAAGTCGGCTCCGCTAGCACTCAAATACATGACTCAACTTTTTAGGTTTTGAATTTCGGACCGTGATTAAAAAGATGAATGTCAAAACAAATAAAAATAGAAGTAAAATAAAACATAAGATAAAAACACGATAAAATTTAAATTGAAATAAAGATAATAACACCAAAATAAAATACAAAATGGAATCCAATTATAAGATGATATTATTTGAATTTATTACAAAAAGGAAAAATGAGTTTGAGATACAATTGCAAAACAAAATACAAATGACTTGAACACAAAGACGGACTGACGCTCCGGAACGAATCCCTCCATGACTGCAAAACTCTCGAACACTCCTCTGCCTCAAATGGTAGCCTACGAACACCCGAAAAAGAAAGAGAAAAGGGGGGAGTATATAAATATACTCAGTAAGCAACCTACTTGTAGACTCTCATTGCATCCTTAACCTAGTAGATATCCACGAGTTTTACTCTGGGCTCTAAGAATTTCGGGCCTAGTCTCCACTACTACCTGAGTATCTAGGGTGCCTCGAAGTTTCAAGCAGTACTTTAGCTTCTCACGAACCCACTCTAGTTAGGAGGGGGTAGTGCAACCATTTCTGGCATTGTAGGTCTTCTTAGCGACAAATCTCTTCTATGGGGTGAACTACTTTTCTGCTCTTAGACTTTGGTAGCTTACTCTACTGGTCAAAGCGCTACCTTGTAAAACTCTCGCTCTAATGGGGACAACGTGGTGTGTGCTAATTTGCGCTCATCATTCATGGGAGGTTAGTTGGTGAACCCTACCCAGAGGACTATCCAGTCATCAAAGGTTGGGAGAGCACCCCCCGTGCTTACTAGCTATTAAGATTGCCAGCATAACTCTACGTCCCCTCTCAAGATGGATATGTTGTGCAAGATAATCCAACTAAACTATTGGTAACACATCCCTAACCGGCCTAGTCTCTACTCAACGATACTGGTACAAGAGTGGAAAGGGAAGTAGAAGCATGGATGATACTGTACCAACTGTTAACGATTTGGAAGCTAACTTTCCTTTGTTGGGCTAAGTTGCTACAATATTTCTACTCTTTCACCATGAAAACTTGATTAGCTTATATAGTGAATGAACAATGATCTGAATTGAGGTGTGTGCTAACCTGCTCTCATCATCTATGAATGGTTAGCTGGAAAATCCTTCCACAGGACCATAAAGTCACCAAAGCTTGGAGGGAGCAACCCCTATGTGCCAGCCAGCTACTGGGTCAACTTACGTGGTCCCATGTGCCCCTCTAGGAATGAGTTTATAGCCTAAAGGCCTTGTTCAGGAGACACGAGCCATTTTCACATGGTTTGGGCACCTAGTCGTCTTGACACAGGTCCCCTATTTGACATGTGTCTACTTCGACAATATGATTACTCGAGTACAATCTCGATGGAGCAAGTAATGGAGTGGATAGGTAGCAGAGACTTTGATGACATCGTCACACTACTACCAGCCTGAAGAACTACCTTGGTTATCCTTGGTTTTTGGGGAGGTCTCCTAGGTTCTTAAGGGCTTTTAGGCAGTTTAAATCTCATCTCTCATTTCAAGAATGCTTGGGGTTAGCTCCTCGGGGCTAATCCAAGTCTCTAGGTACACTCAAATCTAGACCTTCGATAGCCGCTCACGATCCTGGGGTTCAGGGTCTATTGGAAACGCTTTAACGTAAGTCAACATGTATACCACACTAGCTGTATCGTCCTAATATTAAATGAGTTCTCTCATGCATGCTTTGCTAGAGATATATACCTATCAATCACCTAAGTACGTAATCCATAATTTAAACTTCTCCTTGGTCATATCTAGGAGCTGAGAAGGTTTATTGGATTCCTAGGGTAGCTAGGTAGCTTAAGTGGGCTTCTAGCGTCATGTTGCTCTGTTCTGACTCCTTGAGTCTTTCTTAATCTAGGAGCACTAGGGTCTAGACCCTCTGACTGTCAGTCACGATCCTAAGGTGCACAGTCTATCATCCTGACTATAACGCCCCAAATTTTCAAATCTAATTAGTGATGTCACCCATGCATACATAATTCATTACACAGAAGCTCATCATAAATAACCTTGAAGAACACAACAAAGTCTTTCATAAAGATTCAAAAATCCAAAACAAACCTATCTCCGAAAATAAAACCTTCAGTAACTGAATTCAAAATAAATCTAAATAAAACAATGTTTAATGCTTTAACTTAAAACAATCAAATAAATGTAAACTACTAAAATTGCCCCTCGTTCACTTCCATGGTATCCTCAACTCCACCGTCAATCGTACATTGGCACCTTGCCTTTACTTGAAAAATGTAGGTAGCACGTGACTTGATTATTTTATGATACTCAGTAAGTCACCCCACTACTGGGGTTAGAAATGCAAACACATGCAACATATGAGCAGGACCTAACTTTTCGTAAACTTTACATGGCCTTGGGTGCTTTTCTATTTCAGGTAGGGTTGAATGTATGGTACTCCTTCACACACGACCCATGTACGCGCACATGGACCTACTAGGTGGGCTCGTATATGTACCCCCTAGGCCTGGCTTGGTCGGACACAACGTATTACATGTCGTCGAACACCACAGAACAGAAAAGGACCCGCATGATATCATGACGAACATAAATATCGTATTTCATTCTTTCGTAACATGGGAAGCATCCCTATGCAAGTGACATACATATACGCATGAGGTCCCTTAACATACCTATCATGGCATTACATAAGGATTGCTAACATCACATATACGTTTGATATGAACCAAGAGACATCAATCATACAATATGCTTCAATGAAGATATGAAGAAAATATTGTTGAAATTATCAAAAGATATTTCAATTCATGG